TGTGATTTACATTTACAAAATCATTTTTTACCCGTCAAATAAGACGTTAGAAAATTGATTAATTTTTTTCAGAATATGTTATTATTGAATATCTTATAATATCTTAGAATATCTTACAATATATAATAATATTAATATATATAATTTTTAACATTTGTGTGGTTAAAATATTCATCAGTAGATTACATACTTTTTTCTTTTTACACTTCTCCTCTATCATTAAATATAAAAATGTGCAGAAAATATTTACAAACTTACTGATAAATATATTTCATCGAGAATATAATTAACGATCAGTTACTAAATAAAAGGTCTAAAAATTTCATTGATCTTTTAAACATGGATGTCTTAGCTCTATAATTAGAGGACTGAATTAAACAGAGCGAAAAAGTACAATATCTTTTGTTCTTTTATGAGTGTGACTATTGCGCTAATTTAAATTGTTTTAAATTACATTAAACATAATCGTTTATTAGTCCTTATGAATAAAGGGAAATATTGTCATTCTTTCTCCAATATACACTACATTGTCTTTATCATTTTTGAAGAACTGTCAATTATAACACTGCGAGACACATGAAATTGATTATTTCTCAGATGTCATTTCGATTCATTTCGAGTATATGTGTTATACATTTGGTACAATGAAGGATAGAAAATACAACGCATTTACTGTCTTTTTATTTAATAGTATCCATGTGTATAAGATGACAAAATTAAATTATATTTCTTATCCTTATATTTTATAATCATTATTTATGTATGACAGAAAGAGAGAAAATCAATAATGTATTTACACAGTGCAAATATTATATGAAATTTAAGATCTTTTTAGTTTTATAAATTTATAATATTGCATATTTATTATTAAATTGCATCAAAATGCACATCTTAAATTCATATATTATTATAAAATTAATTATGATTGAATTATGATTGAACATTAAATAAAAATTCACAAAAAGATATTTGGAAGAATTGATAATACAGAAATAACTGTTCTTGTATATTATTGTAAACAGCAAAACAAATATAATAAAAATAATTAATTTTTTATTAAATTTTAAGTTTCTTCTTTCAATTATTGTCCCAATACGTGACCTCTTCCCCAATTATGCCCTCCAAATATATTTCTTCCTTGATTCTGTTCCCCCGTAGGTCTAGGTGCAGGTACATTCCCAAACGATCGAATTCCACTTCTTTGAGGTGGAAAATAACTTTCAAGTAACCTAGGAGTATTGAGTAATTCTGGACCACCAAGCTCCTGGGGATACTTGAATTTCAAGAAGACATACAGATGTCCTACTAGAATCCCAAACAATTCCATCATTCCGCCACCAGAAATAATCAGATTAAATCCAAATAGGACCCATGGCAGATACATGGCTTTGAATTGTGTACCTGACAATAAATTTGTTCATATAAGCCAACATAATGCTAGTATCATTACAACGTAATGATATAATCATTAGGGTAGGATAGGGCTATTACGTCAGTTTTAACTTTAAAGTAATACAAAAAAATCTACAATAACAAATAATATCTTTTATAATTACATACAATCATAATTGATTCTTGAGAGCACAAGTACAACCTTTAAATAATCATATGTTGTTACAGAAACAAACATTATCGTGAAAAATAGACGAAAAGGTCCCACTCTACCCTGCGTAATTTATAAATAAAATATGATATAAAAAAGAAGCAGAGCATACCAAACCAGAAGTTTACAATAGCATCTTTATTTAGCTGACACCACACGTATAACACACTGAGCACCATGGGGTCCATAAGCAGGGAGAAATCGCCAATAAGTCCAATGATAACGCAGCATATCCAATTAAACAACAGAAGGAAGCAATAATCCGCGGGCTTTCCATCATACTCTCCACGCTCTAACCTTAATGAATAATTGTACAAGAAATAGCAATTGATCAGGAAATGAAAGCCGGTGCTTTGGTTGAGAGGATAGTAAAAGACGCTTGTCACCGCCCGCCAGATTTCAAAATTATGCAGAAATCGGTCGGGCCACAACACCAACGAAAGCGGGCTCAGAAATCCAAATCTGCCGAGTAATGTCAGAACCGCGGTACACAATAACCAATATCTCGTAAATATAGGTAGAGAATTGAACCAGTCTCTCACATCTGACATTTTACGTAGTCTCTACAATGCCGTTTTTGTGCTTATAATATCGCGTTACTATTAATCTTCAATTACAGTCAATGATTGCGGAATAATGACGTGTAGATAGTACGCGGGTCACAGAAGTGACCAGAGTTCATCAGAGGTGACGTCGACGTTCGGCGACAGATGTTTTTTCAGGTTATGGTCTACTCGTTTAAATGAAGATCATATATGCACATATATGATAGAGCAGTGTTGCAACTTGCAAACTCGCGCTCGCTTGCAGCTAGAAACACTTTAATAAAGGTGCCATTTCATGAGACGCTAAAAAGCAGCATAAATGGCCGCGTTCAGCAGACTTAACTGTTGCGGATCCACAAGTGCTCAATAGCTGCGTTCAGCGGACTCAACAGTTGAGTAAGCGTTTGCTGCTATTGATGTATTCTTCTAGATCTAAAATGTTGATTGGATAATCTAAAAGAATACACCAAGCAGCGAGCGTCCACGTATCTACTACGAAATAATTGTGTCTACTGAACGCGACCATTAATGATCTTAACTAATTCACAATCATGAACAAGAACGAATTTTAACAGAAGATATATACACATAAATTGTCGAATTCTTATAATAAATTTACAAAAATTTATTCATAAAAAATTATTTTATTAAATTTTTATATATTAATACAATTAGGTCTAGTTTCACAATTCACTGTTAACTCTTAACAGAAGTTCGACTTATTCATTATCTCTTTCCAATTCTAGAATTGGAAAGAGATGAGAAACAAGTGAGTTGTGAAACTGGGCCTTATAAAATGATCAAATTTTATTTCTACTATACACACACACACGCATGCATGCATGTATGTATGCATGCACACATGCACGTATTCTTCATAGTAATAATACAGCTTATATAAAACACAACACAGCAAATAAACTAAAAAAAAACATAGTTCTTAAATCCTATGTAGCTATATATAGGTTTTGTGCAAAAAATTATTGAGTATCATATTATACCATTCTTTCTATTGCTTTTGAACATACATGTATAAAGTTCAATATTCTGTAATATTACAGAATATAGCCCGCATGTGACTTTCTTTATAATAGTATCTCGTTAAAAACTTATTAAGGAACTCCATGTGTTCTGCATTATTAATAGAAATTGAATATTTTCTTGTTTTTTATCAAGAGATTAAGAAATTATGAATTATCTTTCAATAATGATCGTAGTTATCTCTTGTAATACAGATTTTTCTGCATTAGCTTCAAATTATATACATATATATTTGTATATATGTATACATACATATGTATGTGTATATGTATGCATGCGTGAGTGTATATATATATAGTTAATCTGATGAAAAAGTTCACCATGAAAATCAAGGACTTAAGATTATTCAAGATCATTAATAATATGCCTCCTATTTATTCTATAATCTTGATATAACTGTCAGCCCTCTATCTCTCATTATTTTGTTGAAAATTGTTACTTGAAACTTTTTTATTAGACTTACCCTACAGAATGTCTCTTAAAAAGCGCTCACAAATGATATTCCTGCGCTATTCCTGATAAAAAAACTGAATCTGAAACTTATGAATCATTTTGTAATTTTTTTTAGTTATCTCACAAAAAAGTAAAATATCTAAAATCGACGCTTAAGACAATTGCAGAACATTTTTAAGAATCCATCTTTAAGATATTTCATAAAGATTGTTGAAAAATATTTAAAAATTGTCTTATTCATTGATTTCTCTCGCTTATTCGACAATCTTTAAAAACTAATGCCGCGTTAGCTATTGCGAAAATTGTAAAATGGTTCATAAGTTTTAGACTCAGTTTTTGATCAGAAATAGTTCTATATGGTTCGTGGACGTTTTTTAAGATACATCCTATATATGCATACATGTTACATACACACACATTACACACATACACACACATATATATACATATCACACACACACACACATACATATGTAATTTAATCATCAAAACCAGCTGTTCTTTTTGTTTTCCTTTGCCTTGGACTTTGTTTTGGAGTTCTAGGAGATTTATCTGTAAACAAGCATTTGTTATTTTATGTTAATTTTTATTTTAAAGTTCTTTTAACTTAATAATTTTCTTTTAACTTAAGAAATTTGTAATATCAATCATTTATATAATTTGTAGCAATTGAGATTCGATAGTGAAAACTATTATCATTAAAAGACAAAAAACTAAGAAGCGATATTTCACCATAAGATGTTTTTAAATATATTTTACAAAGCTGAAGGACTATACAGAACTCGATTTTGCCTTAAACATAATAAATAAAATTATCTGTACCTCACTTGTACTGTATAGTGCAAATAATGAAACAAATTTTTATCTATCTCTTTAAAAAAAAAAAATCATTTTGCAGTAATCTGCCGACAACTTTTCTTATTACGAATATCATAATTACATTGTAATTTTTTTAGTATTTTAGCTATAACTGAAATTCAGTAAATATCTTTGTCATGACTTTTGCTGACCCTTAAAAATGCTAAATTATAGCTATGTGTGAAGTTCCACAACTTCTCAATTTCATCAAAAAATTATTACTGTCCGGTAAATAATTCGACTGATTTTAAATGTCACTATGTAAGCAATTTTCATTAGATTTTGATAAATCTACTACTTACTGATTCTATTGAGAGTTTCCTTCGGCAGCCAATCATAATCTACATTGTTAGGATTAGATGTACCCATTTCTACTGGTACTTTACGAGTAGTAGAAGAACGCGATTTACGTCCCAGAGATGATAACAATTGTTGACCTCCTACAAGGGTCAATATAACACATGCTGCGAGGAATACATAAAGAAAAATAGTTTCTCCATCAAGACCATCATCTATCTCTATAATTTGTACAGTTTCATTAAAGACCGCTTCATTGTAGGAAACGCCATTCTGCAGAAAAATATAATACATCAATACACACGCAAGTAATATATCCCTATACATATCGAATTAAAAAAAGTATATAATAAATAAAAAATGTTACATATATAGTGACATGATTCTTCAAAATCAAAGATTTTTAGATTAATTTTAATAATATAATTTTCTTATTTTTCCACATATCACTTTTCTATAATATATGTAAATATAAAATTATACTTGTGAATTCTTACTTTAATGTATTCTAAAGTAAGCGGTACACAATGCATGTTTTCTTGCTGAGTTGTTTGTGTTCTAGTAAATTACTAGATTTGTACAGATTTGTAGAGATGTGTTGGGAATCCCATTTAAGTGCTCACTAGGAATCATGTCACTCTTGTTTAATGTAAACAGTAAACAAGAATAAAATGATATACTCGATACTCAGTTGGAAATCTGAACATAGCTTAGAACGCATAATTTATTTAAATACAAGCGATCAAGCAAGAAATCATATATCATGTGCCACTGGCTTAAATTTTTTATTCTTACATGCTTTTATATATTTTATATGTAATATCTTATTTTAATATCATACATACGGCATCTTTATAATTCAGGTTAACATTCAAGCCGAATGGCCTTCCAGCGAAACTCTCAGATGGTATAAAAGAATAAGCTAAGGTAGCTTCATGTTTCGGTTTCACAACTTTGTTAAATGTGAACGTGGAGAAATTTTGAATATAGAAATTAAAGTCCATTGCATAACGGAAAGAAGCATCCAATGTTTCCAAAACAAAGTCATTTTCACCCTTATTAGTAAATCCAACAAGAAATTCTATTATATTTCCAGCTGGCAATTCTGTCAAATTAATGTTTAAAATTAATTTTAATATTATAAAAAAATATCGTACATTTTAACCTTAACAGTAAAAAAATCAATAAAAGTACCAAGAGTAGATAACATATTATGAATAGGTTTTGTAAAAAGTATTGTTGTATCGGCATCAACTGAAGCATTACTAGTATCTTCTTCTGTTTCTTCATCAGTTATTATACTACCTTCTTCACCTTCTACGTCAACAATATCATCAATATTCTCATCTTCTTGAGCATAGACATATGCTGCAAGTTATAAATACAAATGAGTAAAGATCTATCAAATTTTATATAATCAAATATATATTTAACGTAAATTAATATATTTAAATAATTTAAATAAGTAATGTATTGTACAAAATTAAACACGCAGCAGCAGTCATAATTATAATTAAAATAACAAGATAAGTAAATAGCTCAATTGATATGTAATAAATCAAAATAATAAAAACTAATATCCATTATAGACTTTCTACAATAAGTCATTACTTAAGTTTTAAGTCTTAAGCTATAAGAAATTGACCAATCATAATTGATTATTTTTCTAATATTCGACAGTGAATGGTTAATTTCTTTATGATTAAAGACTTAAAAGTACTTAAGTAATAGCTTGTAAAAAGCCCATTAAGATTTTTTACTACCAACTGATTATAGAATCAACTTAAATGTGTTACAAGCAAAGAATTATTCTTCTATTCCCTAATTAACGTAATATATTATAATGTAAGTGTATTTCAATATTTTAATATACAAATGTAAGAATTAAAATACAAATTAGAAAACTGTTGAAAATATTTCAAAATATTTAATTGTTTATCTAAAATATTTGACTGAATCATTATGAAGCAGAAAAATTGCAAACTTAAGTCAGGTATTATAATTTGATTCTTACGCACGTATTGTTAAAATGTACATTACACAAATAAATTATAAATTAAATTACCTTCATTTGCTGCGAGTGCAATTGTTGAAACAATCAAGAATAAGAAAATGTTTAAGTATCTCATTTTTATCTGCTGTTCAATAGGTACACTTCTGTTACGAATACAGGAATTAATTCTATCTCAACATCCACTGATCCTACAATGTTCCGACATAACGTGCAATTATCATAACCACACTCTACCTCATGCTACGTGGAACTTTACCACTGTTCTGTTCACCACGACAGTCGTCAATTCGTCAACGTGGAACTGTCATGGTGAAAGAAATCGAAGTGTACTTGTTCTCGAGATTTTCGCAGATACCAAAAGCGGCCATTGAAACATTTGCACGGCGGCAATTTTAAAATGACGTATCGTGGATTACCAACGAGAATTGTTCTTGACACCAGCGAGATACTATTCAATATTCACGTAATGACTTTTGTCGCAAAACTATTAGACCGATAATTTTATACATGAAAAAGGGTATGGAGCATTCATACGAGAGAAGCTGAAGACTTGATAGAAAGAGAAAGAAATAATCGCGGAGTAGTTCTCTTCTTTTCTAGTGATGAATTGATTGGTCGCCGCGGCAAACTGAGAAGTGGCCGAGAGCAACGAAGATAGACGTTTGAGAATTGTGGCCTTACGATCAAACTGATTGGCCTCCCATCGCTCACTGT